AGCTTTCAACTTAATGACTGAACAAATGCATACAGAATTTGTTTTCTTTTTTTCTCTTTACTGTAATAATACATCACTGTCTTTGGGTACGCCATCAGAGATGTTAGATGTAGTTTGTATGCTAATATATATATATATATATATATATATGCAGTTTTAAAAGACAGAGTAAATTAAAACCTTATATTTGCCTAAACACATAAATGATAAATGAAGAGGTCATGTTAAAGTCAAAATTATTCTTAGTGATAACAATGATTCTTAATGATAGTGATGAATGATTTTTAAATGGGCAGTTTATAATTCAAGAAGTATTTTTGAGACTTTTATGATAACATGTTTGCATGGTCTTTACAGTTTAAAAACACATTCACTTCTTTTTCCCTATTTGAGTATACATGAACTATCTGAATGAAGTGTTATTTTATGCCATGCCCCTATTTTTAAAAAAACTACAGTTAATGGGGGGACTGTGGTGGCTCCATACAACAAACACTGGATTGCAAACCGCAATGTCCACAGTGTGAGCCTGTCAGGCTCTTCACGGTAGAAAGATGAGAGGTTTCAATCTCCAGTAAAGATTGAAAAAACCCTCGGAAACCCTTGGTTTCCGACTGGAAGTCGCTTAATAACAACAACAGCAGTTAATGGAATTAGTAATTAGCAGAAACATGATTATCAAATTCTCTAGACTTACATTGAGGATTAAATCCTAACCCAGATACCTTATGTGACCTCTTCTACATGTAATACATTAAGTAAGGGGTACAGAACACATCAAAATGTTTCTTGGTAACTCTTTGACTTGCCTTGTGCTTTTCAGTTCTCAAAAGATTGACGGCTGTGTTATCTCTTTGAGTATGGCAATAACCTTATGAGGCAATGGCTGGCTCAAATGTCGAGAAAGTGCAAAGACTAATGAGAAAAAGATAGAACAACTGTAGAACTAACGATAAAATAGTATTTGATCAGGTCATTGGATGATCAAAGGATCAAGGAATCACCTTGGAAGGATCAGGTGAGTCAGCTCAGACTTAAAAAATATAGCTGAAACAAATTGATACCCAGAACCACATGAGAGAGGGACAGAACCTCTTTAAAGTCCAGTCTTGCACCAGTTCCTTAAAAATCTACTATGCTTCTTTGACCAGAGAGGGGAAAAAATGAGTATTACGTTCAATATTAAAACGTGGGGGTTCTTAGAAAATATTCCTGAAATCATAATAGAAGAAATGGATACACCAGATGAAATTAAATAATTCCCACTGTTATCTCAGACTTAAGCCAAAGTTCATTTATTGTTATAACATAAGGGTAAGCACAATGGCCTAAAATTGAGAAATTGTTGGATTTAGGAAAAGTTGTAAGAGTTGGGGCATTTTTCTTTACACAGAATAATCATTGTTCAGTTGCAAACTTCCATTCTCCCTCTTTCTTCAGAACCAGGTCTGAAAAGCCAGGATATTTTGAATAAATAGCCTGGTGACCTAGAGTGGCTAGAAATTAGAGTGCCACCTGGTAAATATAAGACCACCTTAGGAGAAAGAGTGAAGGGTTCAAACCAGAAAAGCCAAATCTGCTGTGAGTTACAAAGGATCAGAAACAGTAATGAGTAGTGTGAAGTTAACATCAGAGAATTTAAAACTTTCCCCCATTCTGGTTATCATTACTCAATAGGTGCTAATCATAGGTGTGTGAGTGGGTCAGTTTAGGATAAAGGCCTAGACTTCTAGAGGGCAAAAAATTATGAAAGGCGGATGAGTAAAATGTAGCAATGATCAGTAGCCATTTATAAGGGTGTTTGAGGTCTGCATCTCTTCCTTAATTTGTTTTCCTTTTAATCCACATACCTGAGTCATCGTCTCTCCATTATTTTTTTTTTAACTCATTATTTCCTAGCTTAATTTGGATGATAATTATTTGGATTAAGAAAAAAAAAATGGTTACATTTTACAATGCTATAATCTTCATAAGATTTTTCATGTCAATAGTTATGTGTTGTTGTTAAGTGCTATCAAGTCATTTCTGACTCACTGCAAACCTGTATAGGGTTTCCCAGGAGCAGCAGGTGGGTTTGAACCACCAACTTGCAGTTAGTAGCCCAGTGCTAATCCTACAGCATTACACCGGAACTCCAGTAGTTATATAGACATCAGAGGAAAGGTAGCAATATTTGCTACCTTGTTTGCTTCCATCAGTATCCTCATATATACATATAAAGATCAAAAAAACAGCTTTAACAGCAGAATTTATATCCTCACTGTTAGTAGTGATAACAATATATAGAGAAACCTAAAGCTATGAAGTTGATAGAAAATAACAAGTACTATATAGACTGTGTCTATATATAGGAAATTGAGTCAGAACAACAGCAGCAATTATTGTATTATTGTTGTTTTGATATATTCACAATGATAGCATACTGTCTTCCTTCACATCCAGTATGATGCTGTAGTATCAGCACTGGACTGTGAATCACAAGGTCAGTGATGTAAACCCACCAGCTACTCCTTAGAAACCCTCCACAGAGTTGCTATGAGTTGGAACCGAACTCACAGCACTTAACAACAACAATTGTAGCTCTTTATAGTTTGCAAAACAGTTCCCAAATATAAATTCTCTTAATCTTCACAGCACTGTTTGTTTGTTTTGTAATATTTAAGGGAAAGATGATTTAATGAGTCTAAATGACCTGACCAAGCAGCCAAGGCTTAGATTCAAACCCAGTGTATGTAATTCCTCTGGTAAGTAGCTGAGCTAGAATTCTGTCCTTTGATAGCAGGACCAGGGGCTATCCCTAGAATCTAGTCTTATTTTCAATTCATAAACTTAGAAAATTAAAATGCAGAAACTCATAGATGTACATTTACATAGAAATGCTGCTAGTTTTATCCTTTGAAACTATTTATATGTAAGGCTATCTCCATATTTTTGCACCATTTATTTATCAGTGCTTGTTGATTTGCATATAAATTAGTTTTGAAAAACTTCTGTGTTGAATCAAAATGTATATACCAATGCTTATTTTCTTTTAATACGCATTCTGAAAAAGAATACAAATGAGTACCCCTTAATATTTTAGCTATATATAATACCTTTTACTGCTACAAAATATAAATAAATAAGCTCAATATGTAGTGTTTGAAACCCAGTTCAAATAATACAATGATCATCTGATAAACTATATCAATAATCAAAATTAGTGAACATTTCTCATCTTTTGAGACAGTCATGAACAATATGGGAATAAGTTTGAGAAGTATGAACATAAAATGATGTAATATATCCACTATCCAATAATTCTTGACATTTTCATTAGCTGAAATAGTTACTATGTTATTGATAACATTGTTACTGGGGAAGATTTCTGTAAATGGAGTACACAGATCCTGACAATTAGAAGGAAGTCTATCTATCTAGAATGTAGCATCATTTATTGAGCACTTAATATTTGCAAGTTACTATATTAAACATTTTGATTTAACACTTGAAACACTGAAAGTGTGGAAGTAGAAAGCCTAAGTGATAGATGAGAAAACTGCCAAAGGAAACTTGATCATTTTAGCTTTGTACAAAGTTACAAGGCTAGTGTCAAAGTTCAAGTTTGAACTCAGTCTGTCTGAGACCAGAGTTTATGCTCATAACCAGCTCACCTAACTATCTAAAGAACTTAACCTTCAAATTTTCAAAAGATTGTTCCAATAATCATTTCTTCTGAAAGACAACATATCCCTTTTTAAATTGTTCTTTCTGTGAATCTTAGCATTTTCCAGTTAGAGCTGAATTTGCCAACGACTACTTCATCTTCCTTCCAGAGTGCCAAGTTCTGTTTCATCTGAATTTTTTGCCCTTTATTTCTGTGTAATTTTCCTTATTATAAAGGACTAAACCAGTATACTTTAGTATTATAAAGGACAAAACCATGGCTTGGGTCAGGTGTACCTTAGTCCTCAAGCTGACACCTTTGCTCTTCAACACTTTAAAAAAGGTCTTGTGCAGCAGATTTGCCCAATGCAATATGTCGTTTGATTTCTTGACTGCTGCTTCACTAAACCAGTATAGTCCTTTATAATAAGGAAAACTACACAGAAATAAAGGGCAAAAAATCAGATACAACAGAAATTGTCACTCTGGAAGGAAGATGAAGTAGTTGTTGGCAAATTTAGGAGCTCTGATAGCATAGTAGTTATGAATCGGGCTGCGAACCACAAGGTCAGCAGTTCGAAACTACCAGCTGTTCCTCGGGAGAAAGATGAGGCATTCTGCTCCTTTAAAGATTTACAGCCTCGGAAACCCTTTACAGGGTCACTATGAGTCGGAACCGACTCCACGGCACACAGCCACCACCACCATCACCACCACCATACTGGTTTGGCACTCTAGGATAAGCACTGGACTGCTAACCATAAGGTCAATAGTTTAAACCTGCCAGAACTCGCTCGATGGCACTTAGCAACATATATAAAATAAAGTGGCCAGAAAGACCAATCTGTTTATATGTAAATCATGACTTAGTTATATAGTATCTCTTTCTGTTTTTCCCAGTTCTATTAAAACTTTTGTTAATTTCATTAAAAATGGTAGTGGTGGTAGTTACATGCTGTGGAGTTGGTTCTGACTCAGAGTGACCCTGTATAGGGTTTTCGAGGCTGTAAGTCTTTATGGGAGCAAAAAAGACTCATCTATCTCCCATGGAACAGCTGGTAGTTTCAAACTGCTGACCTTGAGGTTAATAGCCCAATTTGTAACCACTATGTTACCAGAGCTCTTTAAAAATTAATACACTCACTTGTAAATGGAAATGGAAATACGTACACAATTTATATGAATAAATACACTAAACTGAAAACACAATATTACCTTAATTGCTTCCCATCCTTAATAGTCCACAGGGTCTGCATTTTCATGGATGGTTTTTTTTGTTTGTTTTGCTTTTTTCATAGTTTATCCAAATAATTCATGAGCAACCCAAGGTAGTAGTCGTTTCCTTTTTTCCCCAGAAGCTCAGAAGAAGCAACTGGAAGAGAGTATAGAGCTGATCCAAGAAGAATGTGTGTCAGAGAATGCAGATCATTCTACAGAAGAGCCTGCGGAAGGAGGGCCAGATGCAGATGGAGAAGAGATGACTGATGGGATAGAGGAGGACTTCGATGAAGAAGGGGGTCATGAGCTGGTAGGAACTAAGCATTTGGTGTCCACACCCTTTAAATAGGAGCACTAGCATATTAACAACCCATTCATTCTAAAATAAGGATGAAATCACTTGGGACTTATTTCATATGTACTTGTATTTAAGGCAACACTAGCACAGTACTTGCACGTAATAAGTGCTCGATTCTTTAATGCTAAGTGAAAATATGGGGGAGTGAATGAATAAACAGTATAATATGGAAATATTCCATATGGGATTAGGTGTCACTGAAGTCCCAAAAGAAAGGTTCCCTTTCACAGATGCTTCATCATAAAAAGAGCATTGTGTTTGTGCAATTACAAGTAAACTACATGTGTATAATTTCTTGGTAAAGAAAATTTTACTGAAAGATGCAAGGATCCCCATCTTCTTTGATAGTTCTACTCACTGATGATAATTACCTATGCTAGTGGTACAGCCAACAGTCTGCTCTACAGTGAACTCACTGAGACGACCCTTTAGTGTGTGACCAAGCCACCGTTTTCAGTGTCTTTAACTGTTTGCTATTCAGTTTAGATGGCTGGGGAATTTAGCTGAGATGTAATTCTTTAAATGCTTTATTTTCCCAATGTTACAATCACTATATTTCTCATTTTCTAAATGTCCTTTTCTGCACAACAACACCAGGGACTAGGTAGATGTATGTAGCTAAGGATGTTATTTCTCATATTTTATCAACCATGAAATTAAGCATATTATCTTAAAGGGGCTGACTAATGGAAATGGGATGTGTGAGTCTATTTACAACTCTCAAATAGCTGTGGACTCATCGTAGTCTATTTGGCTTATCCCAGGTATATCAGGTTCAAATTTATTAGAATAATTTCTTGGTTTTGTTATGATGGTGATGCTTTTTATTTTGGCATGGTAACTACATTATTAATAATTTTAGAGAAAGCTTAATTTTACCAAATTCTCTATTGACTTTAAAAATTCCAGCTCTTTTAAAGTCGTGTAACATTTTCATTTAAACCTTTCAAATATGAGCCTTTAACACCACCACCAACCTTAAAAAGTCTGCAGGAATTTGAGGGTCATAACTCCCTGTTTGGAGTCCTGGTATGGCACTGCAGGATAATGCACTAGTTCAAATTTCACTAACTGCTCCTGGGAAACTGTATACAGGGACGCTATGAGTTGAAACCAACTCGACAGCACTTAACAACAAGAAGAACCTGCTTAGAACTGTACTGATTTCTGGAATTTATTGAAGAGGGACTAGAATGTAGGACTAACAAGATTTTAAGTTTCTCCTTGTTGTTGTTGTTGTTGTTGTTAAGTGCCATTGAGCTGGTTCTGACTTTTAGCAACCCTATATAGTTTCCAAGAAGCGGCTAGTGGGTTTGAACTGCCAATCTTGCAGTCCAGTGCATTATCCTGCAGTGCCACATCAGGACTCCATGCATGACTTTATAGCCCCCTCCCCCCATTTTTTATAGTTAATATCTAAATTGCCTGCACCTATCAACTCAGTACACTGAGGAAACAAGTGTGTTCTTGATCTGAAGAAACTTCCATTCTCCTCTTGGTTGGCAATTACCGTGGAGTTGGTTCCGACTCATAGTGACCTTGTACAGGGTTTCCGAGGCTGTAAATCTTTAAAGGAGCAGAACACCTCATCTTTCTCCCATGGAACTGCTGGTAGTTTTGAACTGCTGACCTTGAGGTTGGCAGCCTGACTCATAACCACTAAGCTACCAGAGCTACTTTCCATTCTCCTTAGGCAGGACTTTAATTTCACAACATGCTTTCCCCAATCCATACTAGTCATAGTCTGCTTTCACCATGCCAGTATGCCTACTCTTGCCAAGGTATCGAAAGGCCTCTCTATGTTATTATTTCCAGTGTTTACTTTGTTCATATTTTATGACTTTTCAACAGAATTTGGCATAGCTGGCTACTCCCTTCTTCTGAGAAATTCTTTTAACTCTCCAATTTCTCTTCAGTTTCCTGTCCTTAAAACTTCCTCTCCATATTCCCACTTTAAATAGTAGCATTCATAAGTCACCTTCTTTTCTCTATCTACACATTTCCTCAAGGGTACATCATCAAATATCATAAATTTAAGTATTATTTACATATCAAAGATTCTTAAATCTATATTTTATTCCAGGCCTCTTTCTGGAACTCTCAGAGTCAGTGCTCAACTCTCTATCTTCATATAGAATTCCAATAAACTTTTGAAACTTAGCATGGTCAGAAACATTCTTGATTTTTTTCCCCCCAGGCATCTTATTACCCCTTCAGTCTTTCTCATTCTGATAAACAGCATCAACATTCACATAATTATTAAAACATTTTTTAAAAACTAAGATATATCTTTGGTTTTATTTCCCCAGTTATTCCTATCTAAAAATCATAGCCCCAAAATAGGTATGCCTCTACTAAGACTACCTCAGCATAAGCCACCATCCTCTCCTATCAGATTATTTCATAACCTCCACATTGGTTATCATGCTTCAGTTCTTTACTCACTGCAACCAATCCTCCAGACAAAAGGAATAAAGCTCTTTTAAAGAATACATCAGATAATTCACTCCCTTGCTTAAAATTCAACAAAGTGTTTCACCACACTTAGAATCAAAATCCCCAATTGTGTGAATGTAAATTATGATGAGGGTGGGTGGGGAATGACAGTAGTTACAAGAAAAGAAAGTTCCAGATGCTAAAAGGAAAGAAATCTAGAGCACAGGTACAGACAGATCTGACATAAAGAGGAACACTATTCCACTGCAACTGGTGTGTTTGGAGGCACACATTTGAGGGAGTTCAAGCACAAACTACAAAAAAATTCAGGTGTGTAATCAACTGTATAGATGGAGAGGGATTGACAAGATCATAGATTTCAGTAAAATGAATAGTATTTGAAACAATTAATATGAAAAACATAAACGGATCAGCATTGAACTGCAAACCGTAAGGCTGACAGTTCAAATCCACCAGTTATTCCTCAGAAACCCTATACAGGGTCACTATGAGTCAGAACCAACTTGACAGCACTTAATACCAACAACAACAATCTGGGAAACATATAAAGATTGATAGTTAGAGACCAAGTACTAACAAAGCAGCAAGTTTGCAAAGTTCAGTGTGCATCAGAATCATTTGGAAGACTTCTTGAAACACATATTTCTAGATCTCATTCTAAGAGATTCTGATTTAGTAGGTCTGAGTAGGGTCCAATAATATACATTTCTAACAAGTTCCCAAGTCATGTTGATGCACTGGTCTGGGTATCACACTTTAAGAACCATGAGGCATCAAACTGTCCGGCTCAGAAATTTTCTCCATTAGCTTTTATCAGTCCTCTTGGAAGCATGGAGAAACAGGTGACTGGTTCACAACAGGTGACCAGTTCAGAATTGTATTTTTGTTGTTGTTGTTGTTAAGTGCCTTCAAGTCGGTTCTGACCCACAACAACCCTGTACAGAGTTTCCAAGGAGTGTCTGGTGAGCTTGAACCACCAACCTTGATGCTCAAACCAACTTTGCAGTCCAGAGTATTAACCCACAGCGCCACACCAGATACGTGCAATAATAAGTAGGTGAGGCAGAGTCTATAGTAAAAAGAGTGTTAGACTAGATGAGTCATGGAAGAGAAAACAGAAGGTCACTGAGAAGGAGAAAACAGAGACATGAAGGTACTAGAAATCCCTGTGCAGTTAAGGATCAGAGACAATGGGGCTAAATGAATAGGAGAAAAGTGGAGGCTGTATTTAGAGACTGAGATCTGTCAGAGGGGTGACAGGTATGGATGATGAGACAGCCCATGAAGGGGATAATGGAAACAGGATCAGAGCAAAGGTCATCACAGATGAAAACTTAGGGAACTGAGAGGCTCAAATAGGCTGGGTCATCTACCTGACCATGAAATCATTCCTAAAGTCATGTAAGAAGTAGGAATGTTAGACAGTTATCAAAAGTCTGCTATGATATGGACTCATAACCAAGTTGAATTCCAGATCAGTCACTATCCAACTGCAAACAAATAACCTCTGAATTCCAAATTTCTTATGTGTAAAAATAGAAAGGTTAGGCCAGAAATTTCTAAAATGCATTCATTCTATTTGACCTCCCTTTTGGTGATTATTGTCCCAGCAGTCTCTATCTAAAGGAGCAAGTGTTGATTAAGCAGCCAAGGGAATAAATCCTAATGATGGTGTCTGGTTTATGCTGTAAACATGCAAAGTAACTGATGGGAATTGCTGCTATCTGGAGGTGCTCAGATTTTTCTCCCACAATCCTTACATTATAATTAGTGGTTTAAGGACGTAAGGAATGGAATCACATCTCTGGTATCTTGCTTTGTTTCTAAGACATGGAAAATAATGATTTAGAATGGTTTTTAACACTGAGTCCTAATAATCTAATTGGAAAGTCACAAGCCCCTCTTAAGTGATTTACAAGAGAAATTTCCCTTGTTTGTTATTCACCATTTCCTCTTTCATAGATGATATGAACTAAGTCAACCTAGGGTCTCAAAAAAGCAACTAAAAGCACAAAATTCCTTTTTTGTATAATAAAGGAAATGATAGATTTGAACAGCATGGGTACATATAATTAGACTTTTAACACATGCATTAGGAGTCAAAAGAGGAGCAGAATCTACATGCCCAGTTCAGCTGATCAAGGAAAATCCAGAATGACATTTCAGAAGAATGAATGGGGAGCAATAATTGTATCTGAAACAAGGGAGATGCAGCAAAATGAGCTGGCAGGACATCTATAATGGTAGTTCCCTTTGTGGATCATGTAAAAAGTTGAAGGCATAAGCACAGGTAGTCCAGAAACTGTCTTGCTTTAAAGAGTCAGTTAATTAACTGGATTTCCATGAAGCAATCCATTCAACTAACACTTGAGTGTCTCCTGTGTGCTCATCAAGTGCTGCACAGAATTTAAAGATCTCTAAAAATATTGCTATATACATGAAATGAAATTTTTAAATAAATAGTTTTTTTGTCTCTTATAGATAGATGACTGGTT